AATTGAAAATGCATTACCAGTCACAGAATTTCTTATAATGTTGTTACATCTTCATTGACAAAACTGTTTTTACTGTTTTTACATAAAAATAAAACGGAACCCATCAGTCTGAGTCACCAAAAAAACATCAATTTTCTACTTCCGACTGGTCGGTCTTCTGTTCTTTCTTAGGCTTATTCCAATCGAATACGTAGTCGTATTGAAGATTAAGTGAGCGAAATAAATTGATAAATAATTGCCTCAGGTACGTATAATTTGGAGTTTCATCAAAGCGGAGACCTCGACAGTAATTCAAGTACGTTGCAAATTCGGCCGGAAATCCCTCACAAAGAACTTCTACTGGTATCGACATTTTTTTTTCACTTACTTTTTCATATGCTTGTTTTTTCGTTGCTGCTGTCACATTTTGCCACGGTAGACTTCCACGATTAAAATACATTAACACATATCCTATCGACTCCATATCGTCCCTACGACTTTGTTCAATACGCAAATGGGAATTAATGCTAACATAACTGATAGTACCAGCCAAACCTGTATCCTCACGATAAGGTATATGTTGTTTTTTGAGAATATATGGTTTTGCTAAACCATAGTCTATGAGATAAAGAATATTGCGATGTGTTCCGATTCCCATAAGAAAATTCTCTGGTTTAATGTCTCGATGAATCAAATTCTTATTGTGAACATATTCAATTCGTTCAATCATCTGATCAGCTAGCATTAAAACAGTTTTCATAGTAAAATGTCGTAAACGAAATGTAAAAAGTTTTTCTAAACTTGTTCCAAGAAGATCCATGACTAAAGCATTATAATTATTTTCTTCTCCACACCATAGTATATCAGGTATACCGACACCACTTTGAAGAATTTTATATAATTTACCTTCGTAGAGTAGTCGTTGATACTTTGCTTTTTTTGACTCCAATTTTATAGCAACCCGTTTTCTATTTGTGATGTCGATGCCAAGATAAACGTCTCCATACGAACCACTTCCTATCTTAAGTATGATTTTATACTTTCCATTGACGATAAACCTGGGTGAACTACTGGCGCTATCCATTTTGTTATAACGTATATCTAACGTTCCACTGACTTTTTATAACTTCACAGTAATCTCGGTTACCTTATAAAGAGCACGCGCAGCTTGCGGAATATCTGTAAACTGCACGTGCAGCTGACGAGGTATCTGTAAACTGCACGTGCAGCTGACGAGGTATCTGTAAACTGTACGTGCTCGTTCTAAGGTGGTAAGGCTGTTTGAAACGTTTTACCCAGTAGTATTCCATAAAATGAATCGATTCTAAAACTAATGTGACTCGAACTTTTTCAAAATAAGTATAATTTTTTGAAATAATCCATATAAAATATGCTATAAAGAAACAGTTGTAGGAATATTTACTGAGTGTACATCATTCGGAGACCAGTTGCTTAAGCTTATTTTCGTCGCGGAGCGGCACATCGGCGTACGAAGCGTGTCACGTGACATTCGTGGGTGTCATTCGGTCACGTGATACTCATCTCTGACGTGTTTCTTGATAACTTATTCTTTCTGCCTAGAATTCGCTGAACTTTACAGACATTGCGCGATAGATCATAATATACTATAGTATTTTTATTGTAATTAGAAACGACTTATTACTATTATTCACTATATGAAACAACGAAGGTAAAATCGCTGGATAACGACAATAATTCTATCATGATATATATTATGATGATAAATATTAATTAAATGCAAAATAAGATGTCTAATGTCTCGATGTAAATAAATATTTTATACAATGTTATTTACGACATGAAAGAGATTATGCCATTTAAAAGCAGAGCAGAATTATTAGTTATTTATCGCATTATCATACGTTATTACATGTTGATTTTAATCCATATTTAAAATGAAATAATCTATACTAATATAATAAAGAGGTAATGTTTGTATTTTAGTTTGTATGCAGCAGGTAATCTCCAAANTACTATAACCTCTGTAAAATATACTGGAATGAAACATTCATATTCCTGTGTAATTATTAAACAGTACAAAAGTTAAAAGTTATTAGATGTTGGAAGTTTAATTTGAATACTTACAGTTTAAAAGGTAAGAATAAACGATTAACACATTAAACGGTACAAATAAGATATAAAAATAACATTGTATCTACTATGGAAACATTAAAAAAAATTGAAAATGCATTACCAGTCACAGAATTTGTAATAATGTTGTTACATCTTCATTGACAAAACTGTTTTTACTGTTTTTACATAAAAATAAAACGGAACCCATCAGTCTGAGTCACCAAAAAAACATCAATTTTCTACTTCCGACTGGTCGGTCTTCTGTTCTTTCTTAGGCTTATTCCAATCGAATACGTAGTCGTATTGAAGATTAAGTGTGCGAATTAAATTGATAAATAATTGCCTCAGATACGTATAATTTGGTGTTTCCTCAAAGCGGAGACCTCGACAGTAATTCAAGTACGTTGCAAATTCGGCCGGAAATCCCTCACAAAGAACTTCTACTGGTATCGACATTTTTTTTTCACTTACTTTTTCATATGCTTGTTTTTTGGTNTATTTAAAATGAAATAATCTATACTAATATAATAAAGAGGTAATGTTTGTATTTTAGTTTGTATGCAGCAGGTAATCTCCAAAACTACTCATCCGATTTCAAAAATTCTTTCACCAATATTTAGAATGGACCTCAGGGTGGACATAGGCTGTCGAATACATGTCGAAATTACCCCATTGGGAAGAGAGGGACAGGATTAAGGCTTACTGTGAAAAACTTAGCTTCTATTATACTATTTTATATGCGGGTTTTTGCGTTTTTGTTTGCGTTTTAATAGGGTACGTCAAGAGAATGTACACTAAGAAGAAATATTTCGAAAAATTTTCTCCCAGGGGGAAGTCCCATACATTTATAATTGATACATTTTGAGCCACAACAAGGCGTGGCGGAGTCTGCTAATGTTTTAATATTTCTGTTAATAATAAGGTGACCAGATGTCCCGCTTTTGGTGGGACAGTCCCGATTTTTAACAATTTGTCCCGCACCCCGCGGTGTCCCGACTTTTTGGAAGGATTAAATTTTCGTCAATTATGTGTCATAAACTTGCGTCTTATGTTTAATTAAGATTTGGTAAAGATCGTTACGTATTGTGGCTGTACGCCATATTAGATACATACAGGTAACCCCCGCATAACACGGCACTTCTATAGCACNGATTTTATACTTTCCATTGACGATAAACCTGGGTGAACTACTGGCGCTATCCATTTTGTTATAACGTATATCTAACGTTCCACTGACTTTTTATAACCTTACAGTAATCTCGGCGACCTTATAAAGTGCACGTGCAGCTGACGAGGTATCTGTAAACTGCACGTGCAGCTGACGAGGTATCTGTAAACTGCACGTGCAGCTGACGAGGTAACTGTAAACTTCACGTGCTCGTTCTAAGGTGGTAAGGCTGTTTGAAAGGTTTTACTTAGTAGTATTCCATAAAATGAATCGATTCTAAAACTAATGTGACTCGAAATTTTTCAAAACACGTATAATTTTTTGGAATAATCCATATAAAATATGCTATAAAGAAAAAATTGTAGGAATATTTACTGAGTGTGCACCATTCGGAGACCAGTTGCTTAAGCTTGTTTTCGTAGCGGAGCGGCACATCGGCGTACGAAGCGTGTCACGTGACATCTGTGGGTGTCATTCGGTCACGTGATACTCATCTCTGTCGTGTTTCTTGATAAATTATTCTTTCTGCATAGAATTCGCTGAACTTTAAAGACATCGCGCGATAGATCATAATATACTATAGTATTTTTATTGTAATTAAAAACGACTTATTATTATTATTCACTATATGAAACAACAAAGGTAAAATCGCTGGCTAACGACAATAATTCTATCATAATATATATTATGATGATAAATAGTAATTAAATGCAAAATAAGATGTCTAATGTCTCGATGTAAATAAATATTTTATACAATTTTTTTTACGACATGACAGAGATTAGGCCATTTAATAGCAGAGCAGAATTATTAGTTATTTATCGCATTATCGTACGTTATTACGTGTTGATTTTAATCCATATTTAAAATGAAATGATGTTTTAATATTTTTGGTAATGATAAGGTGACCAGATGTCCCGCTTTTGGGGGGACAGTCCCGATTTTTAACAATTTGTCCTGCACCCCGCGGTTTTCCGACTTTTTGGAAGGATTAAATTTTCGTCAATTATGTGTCATAAACTTGCGTCATATGTTTAATTAAGATTTGGTAAAGATCGTTACGTATTGTGGCTGTACGCCATATTAGATACATACAGGTAACCCCCGTATAACACGACACTTCTATAGCACGGATTCACTAACACGGTTCGAGAATTGGAACCATCCCCGTATAACACGATGGTTTTATAGCACGGGTTTACTCTAACACGGTTCGGAAATTGGATGAAACCCTCGTAAACATGAAATGTAATAAAAGGTGCGTTCTTGTATACTTCCGCGTAACTCCGCACGAGCATTCTAATTATTTTCGTCGCTACTTTGAATGCTCTTTCAACAATAATTCATTTAATGGTTAAAATTTACAATTGGGACACTTCTTTTATCTCTAAAAGCTCATTTTAGAATTATATATTCCTCCACACGATACTATCGATACTGCAAGCGCCATCATTTTTCGTTCACCATGGTTTCTAAATGCCTACAAACAGCAGCGCACTCCCGTTGCAGAGCGACCGCTATTAACGAACGTACTCAAAAATTGTTACCAGTTGATAATGCTCATGCAGAGGTTATATAGGATAAATAATCTTCTGGTAAAATATTTACTTAAATAATAAGTATTTTACCTATGAAAAGAATGAATAATAAATCCGATTTAAATAAGGATTTAACAGCATGTTTTTTAATTTTTGGACCCTAACCCCCCTTTCCGCATTAGTTCTTTGTTTCGTATAACACGGATTCGCATAACACGGCAATTTTTTGAAACGTGACTCCCGTGTTATACGGGGGTTATCTGTATTTTGTTCTAATCTATATATATAATCGAGATGGGTTGATAATAATAAGCGCAGAGCCCAAACGATTAAGAGTTGAAAGTTGAAATTTGGTACACAGTGAGGGTAGGTCACGAGAACGCACACTAAGAAGAGATTTTTCGAAATTCCTCTCTACTGGGGAGAGGGATAGAATTAAGGCTTAACACTTCCATCAACAATGGAAGTGTTAAGTAACAATGGAAGTGCTAAGTAACAATGGAAGTGCTAAGTAACAATGGAAGTGTTAAGTAACAATGGAAGTGTCAACAATGGAAGTTTCAACAATGAAAGTGTTACGTAACAATGGAATTGTTAAGAGAAAACGACGGGCAAGAGGCAGATGCAGTTTTTTTCGTTTTGCGGGAAATCGAACATATTTTTAGACTAAAAATTCTCTAATTAGTCTGGAAACAGGGGTGCCCAATTCTTGCATTCTCTGAAAAGGGCAAAATTGACTATAACGTAATAATCTTAATCTTCGCTATCGTTACTTTTTCCCGAGCAACGCCGAATCTACCTGCTAGTTTTTATATATTTTGCTTTCTTTGTTTTTTGTCTATTGTTTGCCCTTTGTAGAAATTTTTCCCAACCCTTCCTAGCTCCAACTTGGGTGATGATGACTAATCACTTTAGAACAATAGAGAGTAATGTGACTCTGAGGGCTGTGTGTGTGAGTGTGTGTGTCCAACGAGCCAGCGTTGCCATTCCTAGTACATTTGTACTTTTCGGGTATATTTTGTCCTTTCGAGTACATGGAAAGTATACTTAGATTATTAGTACATTTTGAGTACATTATAGTACTTCAGTCCCATTTGTGGTACAAAATAAAATTTCGAAAAAATGCGAAAAAATTAGTTTAATAAAATCTCACTAGTGTCACTACTTGCCAATTTGATTTACCCAATCACACCGTAAACATGTCGTATGTCAGTCGACATCAACAACATACGGATAGTTGATAACATTATAGAAGAGCACTGAGTCATAACATTTGCACGTGCA